TTTGCCGGTCGGGCACCTGTTTATTGCCGGTGTCGCACTAAAATTTGTCAAAATGACATTTGGGGCAGCCGACCACTGCCGCTCCCTCTACTTTATGGAGATAATTTTTGTGCAGCTGTTGTTAGCTGGCACCAACTCTGCCTCCCTCCATACACCGTGTTCGGAGGTCGTCTTCCCTCTAAGCCAAACCTCTGTCCTTCATAAGCTTTGCAAGAAGGGAGTCCTATAAGAGTGAAAGGCTCTTCCTCTCTTGCATCTAGGTTAGAGACTTAAGAACCGATAACAACTCAAGCTGAGATATTAGATACATCCTATATCTCTATATCTCCCTCTCTCTTCCTCCTTTGTGCTGTGATTTTTGGCCCAAAAGTGTGTTTTGACCTTACTTTTGCAACCAATTACACACCACTTTCACCACTAGCTCCGAGATTGAGGAGGACTTGGAGGGTTGATTCTTGAGTTTTTTGGACTGATTTTGTCAATAAGAAGAGGCTGGACCATTTTGTTCTTCAACAAGGTTCTTCAAGGCGGTGAGCATCCCTTGCTTTATATTTCCCGCTCTTAACTTGCAATAGTCTTTACCTAATCTTGCCTTGTTTGTTTAGCTTTTGTGTATAAGACATAAACAAAAGGTCTTATATTTTCAATGCTTTTAGAACTTTCATTAAGGTGTTTTGTGTTTTTGAGTGCAAACTCACCCTATTAGGCCTTGTTTGGCCCTTTTTGTGCCTCTTTGGTAGGCTTTGTTTACTCTCAGTCGTTTTGATCATCTTCCACTACTGAAAAAGCAGTTTGTATTTTTGGTGTGTTAAGGCGGAAGATTGGTTTGAGCCTTGCAATAGGGAGGACACTCCTCTCCCCTCATTGTTTTGTTTCACTAGAGTTTGGCCCAAAGGGTAACATCATGCTTGCTGGTGTTTCTTTTGCCTTATTTCAGAAACTTTTTGGGTGTTATTGTGGGTCTCATATGGGACTTTTCTCTGTTTTTGGCTGGATCTAGGCCTTTTGCATCGCTTAGTATACTTGCTTCATAGCTCCCCCCCATTTGGCCGGTAGAATTGTGTTCTTGTGTTTGGGCCTTATTCTTGCATGTTTGGCTTGGTTTCCATGAAGATGATTGGCTTTATTTTATCATGTAAGTTCTCACACGTCAGCACCTATCACCACCACTCGTTGGGCCCTTTTTCAGTCATTGCTTGCATGGTTCGATGTCATCCTGTTGTGTTTTTGGCTTGGTAAGCCTTGGAGCATTTCGATCCTCTAACATGTATGCTGAAGTATCTTTCATGATTTGGCATCACTTAGGACCTTATTTTCAGAACCCATCAGGAAGTATGTTCTGTATGTGTGCCACTGTATGCATCTACCTTCGCAGGCCTTGATGTGTGCCCTCTTGTGGCCTACACATGAACTTTAATGCATTACACTCTCTTGGATCATTTAGCATGCCATACTTAGGAGGGGTTTGGAGTCTTATTTTGTCCTGCAAAAAGACTCTGCTTTTTACTTGTTCTAAACCATGGCCATGATTTCCAAGGACGCACGATGGGTAATCACTGGCTGCCGGTTCGGGATTTTCCCCCAGCGCGTGGTACTCTGCGGCATGCAGGAACCTGTCTGGGGCTTTGGCAATTTCTTCATGAGAGATTAGGGCAAGTATAAACAGAGGCGGCAGTTGTACGGTACAAGATTTTTTCAGGCGACCCGGGTTTCGAGGCATGCATCCTTCGCGCTCCCGAGCGCAGAGGCTTGGGAGTCCATCCCCTTCTTTTCTCTTGCAATTCTTTCTATATAATTAATTAGAAATTATCTGGTTAATAATTTATTTGCTTATCATTTGACTGTATATTTATTCCGGCTCCTTCCGAGTTGAGGGCATATTATGTAATCAAGTGTGGGTGCGTGTCGTCATGTTCTTCCAACCCCACGTTCTTTGGTTTCCCTTTTATTTACGCTGCTTATGATGGTTAGACTAGGGCATATTTAAATTAGCATACCTTTATGCCTATGCATGCGATGCATCTATTGCATTTGATATTACATGGCATCTAGGCTCCCGGTTACATCACGCTAAACTGCAATTGTATTTCAATTCCAAATTGAAATACGTGCATCGATTGATTGTCCATTTCACATGCCATGTTTAGGATTATGCAAGCCTATCTAGTGCATACCTGTATGGTGTTTGGCATTAGTCAAATTGAATGAACTAGACAATGCATGTTTTGCGTAACTAGTTTATTGTTTTTTGGCACGGGTATACGAATGTCAAGTTATTTTGCCTGCCTTTAGCATCTCGCATGCGTGTGAATGCTATCAATTGACATCATGTTTACCATGTTGGCTTAGAGTGCTTATGTGATAAAAACTGTTTTTAATCGCCTGTGGATGAAGGTTGGATTGTTTGATGATTTGGAAAAAACTCGTTGAATCCGTATTTTAGCCTACTGATGCGAGTTAGCAAAATTTCCAAAGCGCTTTTTCAAAACGAACGGATATGCAACTGCTTATTTCCAAATTAGGCCAATCTAGTCATAACTTGTTTGCTGCGCGCATACACATAGTAATTCTAGGCTTAATAAATTGCGCCTGTAAGAACACATAACGTCTTCAAAACAATCGGATATCATGGTTATGTCAGCAGGCAGGTCTTCGAAACCGGGCGTAAAGGGGGTCGCTCATAGCTAGACCTCTCGGGTCCCCGATCTACCCAAGCAAGGGTCCCGGGAGCCGAGACAACTCTGGTGATCGACGGGCATGTGGCCTTTCGTGCAACGGGAGGTCCAGGCGTTTCCTAAATTTTGCCCCATTTTAAAAATATTTACCGGTGGCGACTCTGTATCTGGCAAAGCAGACCATGTTTTGGCACTACTTTTTCAAAAATATCTGTTTCTCAAAACGATTTGCCCGATCTTGGACTCTTTGTTCAGATTAAAGAACCGGCGACACCAAAATCGCCGAGTTGGAACCTGTAAGTAGCGGAGCGCCCCCCTCCGCGGGCAT